TTTAATTGCTTTCTATGACTCTGACTTTCTTGATAGCTGAAGTGTTCATTTATGAAAATAAAATGAAAAAAATTGTGTCTAAGTTATCCCAACACTGAACAATAAAATTAATTGTTCAAAAAATAAAACAGATAAAATTATGCCCCATTCCTCAGTGTGGAAATTAAGTGTCTCCCATCCCTAGGCCTCACTACCTCGTACAGGTGTGGAAATTTAGTGTCTCCCATCCCTAGCCTCACTACCTCGTACAGGTGTGGAAATGGAGTGTCTCCCATCCCTAGCCTCACCACCTCGTACAGGTGTGGAAATTTAGTGTCTCCCATTCCTAGCCTCATTATCTCATACAGGTGTGGAAATGGACTGTATCTCATCCCTAGGCCTCACTACCTCGTACAGGTGTGGAAATGGAGTGTCTCCCATCCCTAGCCTCACTACCTCGTACAGGTGGGGAAATGGAGGGTCTCCCATCCCTAGCTTCACTACCTCATACAGGTGTGGAAATGGAGAGTCTCCCATCCCTAGCCTCACTACCTCGTACAGGTGTGGAAATGGAGGGTCTCCCATCCCTAGCCTTACTACCTCATACAGGTGTGGAAATGGAGGGTCTCCCATCCCTAGCCTTACTACCTCATACAGGTGTAGAAATGGAGTGTCTCCCATCCCTAGCTTCACTACCTCATATAGGTGTGGAAATGGAGTGTCTCCCATCCCTAGCCTCACTACCTCGTACAGGTGTAGAAATGGAGTGTCTCCCATCCCTAGGCCTCACTACCTCATACAGGTGTGGAAATGGACTGTATCTCATCCTTAGCCTCACTACCTCGTACAGGTGTGGAAATAGAGTGTCTCCCATTCCTAGACCTCACTACCTCGTACATGTGTGGAAATGGAGTGTCTCCCATCCCTAGCCTCATTATCTCATACAGGTGTGGAAATGGACTGTATCTCATCCCTAGCCTCACTACCTTGTACAGGTGTGGACATTTAGTGTCTCCCATCCCTAGGCCTCACTACCTCGTACATGTGTGGAAATTGAGTGTCTCTCATCCCTAGCCTCAATATCTCATACACTACATGGGTTTATGCATATAGTGTACCCCATCCTTAGCCCCACTACTTCAGTACAGGGGTTTATATATATAGTGTACCCCATCCTTAGCCCCACTACTTCAGTACAGGGGTTTATGCATATAGTGTAGCCCATCCCTAGCCCCACTACTTCAGTACAGGGGTTTATGCATAGAGTGTCCCCCATCCCTATCCTCACTACTTCAGTACATGGGTTTATACATATAATGTTTCTCATTCCTGGCCCCTCTACCTCAGTACAGGAGTTTATACATAGTGTGTCCCCCATCCCTAGCCTCACTACTTTAGTACAGGGGTTTATACATAGTGTGTCCCCCATCCCTAGCCTCACAACTTAAGTACAGGAGTTTATGCATAGAGTGTCCCCATCCCTAGCCTCACTATTTCAGAACAGGGGTTTATGCATAGAGTCACTCTATGCATAAACCCCAATTCTGAAATAGTGAGGCTAGGGATAGGGACACTCAGTGTCCCCATCATCCCTAACCTCACTACCTCAGTACCGAAGTTAAAACACAGTGTCCCCATCCCTAGGCCTCACTACTTCAGTACAGGGGTTTATGCATAGAGTGTCCCCATCTCTAGCCTCACTACCTAAGTACAGGGGTTTATGCATAGAGTGTCCCCATCCTTAGTCTCACTACTTCAGTACAGGGGTTTATGCATAGAGTGTCCCCATCCCTAGTCTCACTGCCTAAGTACAGGGGTTTATGCATAGAGTGTCCCCATCCCTAGCCTCTCTACTTCAGTACAGGGGTTTATGCATAGAGTGTCCCCATCCTTAGCCTCACAACTTCAGTACAGGGGTTTATGCATAGAGTGTCCCCATCCCTAGCCTCACTACCTAGGTACAGGGGTTTATGCATAGAGTGTCCCCATCCATAGCCTCACTACCTAAGTACAGGGGTTTATGCATAGAGTGTCCCCCATCCCTAGCCTCATTACTTCAGAACAGGGGTTTATGCATAATAGAGTGTCCCCCATCACTAACCTGACTACTTCAGTTCAGAGGTTTATGCATAGTGTCCCCCCATCCCTAGCCTGACTACTTCAGTACATGTGTTTATACATATAATGTCTCTCATTCCTGGCCCCTCTACCTCAGTACAGGAGTTTATACATAGTGTGTCCCCCATCCCTAGCCTCACTACTTTAGTACAGGGGTTTATGCATAGAGTGTCCCCATCCCTAGCGTCACTATTTCAGAACAGGGGTTTATGCATAGAGTGTCCCCATCATCCCTAACCTCACTACCTCAGTACCGAAGTTAAAACATAGTGTCCCCCATCCCTAGCCTCACTACTAAAGTACAGGGGTTTATGCATAGAGTGTCCCCATCCCTAGCCTCACTACCTCAGTACAGGGGTTTATGCATAGAGTGTCCCCCATCCCTAGCCTCAGAACTTCAGAACAGGGGTTTATGCATAATAGAGTGTCCCCCATCCCTAACCCGACTACTTCAGTACAGGGGTTTATGCATAGTGTCCCCCCATCCCTAGCCTGACTACTTCAGAACAGGGGTGTATGCGTAGTGTCTAGTACAGGGGTTTGTGCATAATAGAGTGTTCCCCATCCCTATCCTCATTACTTCAGTACAGGGGTTTATGTATAGAGTGTCCCCCATCCCTAGCCTGACTACTTCAGTAAAGGGATTCATGCATAGAGTGTCCCCCATCCCCAGTCTGACTAAATCAGTACAGGGGTTCATGTATAGAGTGTCCCCATCCCAAGCCTCACTACCTCAGTACCGGGGATGGGGGTGGTCACAGTCCAGATCATTTAAATCCTGCAGGTAGGGCGTAAGAATTGTACCTGCTGCCCCTATTGCATGATCGTAAGAGGCGGCTAAATTTGGGATCTTATCTTTACCTGTGGTGTGTCCCCATTTTTAGCCTCACAACATCGGTGCAGGTGTGTGTCCCATCACTATAGCCTCACTACTTCAGTACAGGTGTGTAATTGCATGGTGTATCCCTTTAATAGCCTCACTACCTCAGTACTGGTGTGTAAGTACACATGGTATGTCCCTATTTTTAGCCTTACAACATAAGTGCAGTTGTGTGTTCATGGTGTATCCCGTCACTAGCCTCACTACCTGTACTGAGGTAGTGGGGCTAGTGATGGGCTACACTATATGCATAAACCCCTCTACTGAAGTAGTGGGGCTAGTGATGGGCTACACTATATGCATAAACCCCTGTACTAAAGTAGTGAGGCTAGAGATGGGGACACTCTATGCATAACCCCCTGTACTGAAGTACACACCTGTACTGAAGGAGTGAGGCTAGTGATGGAAGACACCATGCAATTACGCACCTAGCTGTACTGTAGTAGTGACGATAGTGATGGGACACAGCATGCAATTACACACCAGAACGAAAGTAGTGAGGCTAGAGATGGGGACACTCTATGCATAAACTCCTGTACTTAAGTTGTGAGGGTAGGGATGGGGGACACACTATGTATAAACTCCTGTACTTAAGTTGTGAGGCTAGGGATGGGGGACACTCTATGCATAAACTCCTGTACTTAAGTTGTGAGGCTAGGGATGGGGGGACACTATGCATAAGCCTCTGAACTGAAGTAGTCAGGCTAGGGATGGGGGACACTCTATGCATAACCCCCTGTACTGAAGTACACCAGTACTGAAGTAGTGAGACTAAGGATGGGGACACTCTATGCATGAATCCCTTTACTGAAGTAGTCAGGCTAGGGATGGGGGACACTCTATGCATAACCCCCTGTACTTAGGCAGTAGTGACGGGATACACCATAAACACACCTGTACTGAAGTAGAGAGGCTAGGGATGGGGGGACACTATGCATAAACCTCACGTAGTGAGGCTAGCGATAGGACACACCATGAACAAACCTGTACTGAGGTAGTGAGACTAGTGATGGTACACACCATGCAATTACGCACCTAGCTGTACTGAAGTAGTGGGGCTAAGGATGGGGTACACTATATGCATAAACCCCTCTACTGAAGTAGTGGGGCTAAGGATGGGGTACACTATATGCATAAACCCCTGTTCTGAAATAGTGACGCTAGGGATGGTGTAGTGAGGCTAGTGACGCGATACACCATGAACACACAACTGCACTTATGGTGTAAGGCTAAAAATAGGGACATACCATTTGTACTTACACACCAGTACTGAGGTAGTGAGGTTAGGGATGATGGGGACACTCTATGCATAAACCCCTCTACTGAAGTAGTGGGGCTAGTGATGGGCTACACTATATGCATAAACCCCTGTACTTAGGCAGTGAGACTAGGGAGGGATACTCCATGAACACACCTGAACTAACGTAGTGAGGCTAGGTGTGTAATTGCATGGTGTCTTCCATCACTAGCCTCATTTTTAGCCTTACACCATAAGTGCAGTTGTGTTTTCATGGTGTGTCCCACCACTATCCTCACCACTACAGTACAGGTGTGTTATTACATGGTGTGTCCACTCACTAGCCTCACTCCTTCAGTACAGGTGTGTATTTCCATGGTGTGTCCCATAACCATCCTCTCTACTCCAGTACAGGTGTGTATTTCCATGGTGTGTCCCATCCCTATCCTCACTACTACAGTACAGGTGTGTTCATGGTGTGTCCCATCACTAGCCTCACTACTTCAGTACAGCTAGGTGTGTAATTGCATGGTGTGTCCCATCACTAGCCTCACTACCTCAGTATGGGTGTTTGTAACATGTTGTGTCCCCATTTTTAGCCTCACAACCACGATACAGGTGTGATCATGGTGTGTCCCATCACATAGAGTGTCTCCCATCCCTAGCCTCACTACCTCAGTAAGGGTGTATGTAACATGTTGTGTCCCCATTTTTAGCCTCACAACCACCATACAGGTGTGTTCATGGTGTGTCCCATCACTAGCCTCACTACCTCAGTATGGGTGTTTGTAACATGTTGTGTCCCCATTTTTAGCCTCACAACCACGATACAGGTGTGTGTTCATGGCGTGTCCCATCACTGGCCTCACTACTTCAGTACAGGTGTGTAATTGAATGGTGTGTCCCATCACTAGCCTCACTCCCTCAGTACAGGTGTGTTCATGGTGTGCCCCATCCCTAGCCTCACTACTTCAGTACAGGTGTGTAATTACATGGTGTGTCCCATCACTAGCCTCACTACTTCAGTACAGGTGTGTGTATATGAAGACCTACTTTGTACCACAGTACATGTGTATATTGATAGTACCCCCTTCCTAAGTCTCACTTCCCCAATCAGGTATATACATGTGTGTGTATATGTGATGCTACTTTCCCTAATACTTGGCCCTCCACATACAGGTGTACAGGGGTAAAGGCTTGGTGATAAAACTCCTCACATGATTGTTTCAGACTGGCAAATATCCAGTATTAGCCAGATATCATATGTTTATCCCCATTACCCACTCACACATATGTACTGCAAGTTTAGCAGGATAGGAGCTTACCTCATGGCTCTGTGCTAAAGACAAGCAGAACCACTGCAAGGTAAGGTTGCTTGTGTCATATTTATGTTAAAATACTTAGTGTGTACAAACTATATAGACTACATGTGCTTGACAGTGTTTACAGGCTAAGGTGAAGGTGAACAGATAAAAGTTATAGGAATTTCACTATCTGCGTAATAGACACGTGTTACGAAAGGGATTGCTCATGATCAGATATATAATATGTACACATAAGATACAGGTTTTCACACAATAAGTAAATCAAACCTACATGTGATTGAAGATAGAACCACCTCCTCACACTCTACATGTGTTTTACATATTGTCATGGTAAACTCATCAACAACACATACCCATCTAAAGCAGGAATGGACACACAAGGATACAGACATTGGTATCCTAGCTATCCCATTGTATGGAGAACTGGGCGGATTTCTGGACATAACTGAAACAGTTTTATAAGACAAAATGTGCCTCAGAGGTATCTACATGTCGGATGACATCTCCTAGTGAACTGTTTTGTAGCTAGTACCTGTGAGGTATATAATGGTACAGCATCCGTCTACCATCAGTTGTCTGTCAGCAATCACAGCAGTTTTATTTAAAATAGAAAGCATCTTCTTTAAAAACAACAATCCATAAGGCCTAAAGAGTCATAATATTATGTTCTCTGACTAACTTCCTGGAGTGTAAGGCTCTCATGTTTGTTCAATTAAATGACCTTAACCTTCATTCAAGGTCATGGGGGCTGGGTCAGCTGTATTGTAAAGTCTCTGAAACTGTATATGATAGTTATATATCTGTGTAGAAATGAAAAAAAAGAAATGCAACTGAAGAAATCCACAACAAAAAATATGTGCCAAATGAACGTTTTCTGGCAAATCTTTTACTGTCAGTAGGTTTATACATGGACAGGTGCAGTATACAGGCCCTCTTTACCTCTTGTTTATGTGACTGTAGGAACTTTGACCTGTTAGGTTGTGCTTGTCATAGATCAACTTATAAGTGGGTAGTTAACTTGAGCTTTAATCTTATCATTGGATTCTGTTGGATCTTGTTTCAGTGAAGAAGATAAGAATTGATGTCATTGGCCTTAAAACGTAAACAGCAGTATATTAGCTGAGGGGATGGAGATGTTATATAGTATAGTAACGGGCAACCTGTTACTCCTAAAGACTCGCAAAACACCAGTTATACGTGTACAAATAGTTGGTTGATTTGTGATACTTACTCAGTGTTACTGTTAGCTGGTCTAAATAATCTTCAGAAAGTCACTCCAGTTGTAACATCACAATGATCTCCACTCAATGCACTACTCTAATCCTGACAATTTTCATATGTTCTATCTGGTTTTATGATTAAAAAAATCATCATAACTTTATATCTAAGATAAGACTTATATACGTTTAATTCAGTGAATATTTCGTAGATTGACCTCAACTTCGTCTCGTTAAATACTACTTTCTCAGGTCCATATAACCAAATATACACTTCACAACAAAAATCCATAATTGATAAATGTAACATGTATACCATAATTTATGTACCAAACTGTGTCTCTATATATAGACCCCTAAAACACCAGTATTGTATAGATTTACCATTCCAGTTTAATGTTCCTACACATATATATGTACTGTATGTGTCCTTACACATGTGTACCGTGTGTGTGTGTAGTCTTGGTCTGGTTACTAGGGTGTTACACATACCAGGCATGTTGTGAAGGTCATTGTGCATCATTTGCATATAATGGAATTCTTAAGTAGTCTTCCCTGATAAACTGTTCTTTATATATTACATCATTTAACAACCGACTTGGTTGGCAGGTGAGAGCTTAAAACAATGTATGTATGTACGTATATCCTGTTACCTATGTATACCATTGTTAAGTTATTACTGATGTAAAAGTTCTCTGATAATGATTTGGAAGTTGGCAGGTAAGTCATGTTAGACAGGAGAAAATTATCTGAACTGTATACATACATGGCATGTCTATAGCTCTACACCATTAGCAAACTAGTGAATGGCTGTGCATTTAGGTAGAGAGTCCCACCACTTTCTTTTGTAAACCAGCCTTGAAACATTGTTTCCTGTGTAAACAAAGACAAGATAGGCTTTTTGGGAGTTAGAACATTTTGCACGGATTCCCAGCAATGCTATAGGAAAGTATTGGCATAGTATATATCTGGTAGTACATGTAGAGTGGGTAAGCTCCGATCTCTGTAATAAAGATGTCATGGGATTGAACGAGGTCAGTTTGGTATCCAACAAATTGCTGAACAGTTTCTCAAGATTGGGGATATATCGATCCAACACAGAGCTCTGGAACTCTACCTTAAACAACCTGTGTTGTTTATACATAACTGGTACACAGGTTAAAGTTGTAGGAAAATCATGGAACTTGCGCAAAGTTTTCTTAATTCCTACATAATGTGCCAAAGACAACACTTACTTAAGAATGTATATATGTGATGTTATGGATAGTGTAATTTGGCATATACACTATAGTAGTGCTTATGATGATCAGCCATTGGCAGGTTGTTGATCTGATGTTTGACTTACCCCTACCCCATCTTCCCTTGTAAACCGACTACTGTCAGTGTGTATTTGTGTATTGGTCTCTATTACACTTACAGTGGACACCAATGTGCTACAAACTCAGCAATAATATCTACATTTACATGATTAAAATAACTTTGTAGTTTACAATATAATCACCTATATATGTATGTTTTTATGTGTGAGGGCATTGGAGCGGAAAATAAGATACCCTGTATGATTTAGTTACAGCTCAATTAAATTTCTCTTTCAGATGTAGGTATGCTTTTTTCAGGCTCTTTATGTGACTAGCTAACCTATGTAAAATGTCAGGAATAAAAATATTATACAGCGGTGCTTTGGGTTTTCATTTAATTGTCATGTATATGCATGCAACAGCTGATCAACAGTCAAAGTTTGATGATTTAAAGGCTAGTAGCCTTGGTGAAGACAGGTAAATTCTCGTATGTATGTATAATTTGTGTGTATATACATGTAATGTAAATATGATGTTAAGACATTCTAGTTTCTTCAGGTTTTCTTATACACATGTTACTTATATAAGCTGCAGGGACACTCGGATTTAGGAAAGATGTATAGGTTATTTCTTGTTTAATATTGGAAGTTTGTTTATTTTAAGCACCTATGCAGAAAAGAATTAGGACCAGTGATCTGAATGTGTTTAATATTCGTCCTACAGAAATGACATGAGATCACAAATTTCACTGCTATGTACATGTGTTATCTTCTGTTTTTGTTCACAGGGCCATTACAATAGGATGAACAGTTATGATCGGGTGCGTAAGATTGTCCAGGAGGAAGGCAGGACCGCACGGAATCTTGTCATTTATAATGTTCCTGTCGAACAAGAGAACAGGGCTGGGGCAAATCTTCCTGCAGGTAAGAGAAAGAAATACATTTGTACCAGATTTATGTAACTGTTACTTTTGTGGGTTTTTTCTGACTGTTTTTATTTTGGGGTCGGCAATTTTGGAAGAATTGTTGAAGATAAAGAATTTCTGAGGATAAGGATGGTAAATGTCAATTGAAATTCAATTCATCAACTTGAAACACCATCCTCAATTAATGGGACAATTCGTCCCCTTGTCTGTTACAGACGACTGGTTCAAATCATATCTGGAATATACGGTATCTATTTTTTATCTATACACATACAGAGTTGGACAATATTGAAGATGTGTTTATTGCCGGTCGACAAATTAAACAAGTGCGTGGATTGAGTTAGGAGTTTGTTGGTACATCTGCTGTTTTCAGATTATGTAATTTAGAAACTAAGTTAGACAGGGCCCATTCTGCCGTGTGTGTAAAGTTTCCTATTCCATACCTTTCCTTTTGTTTTGGTATCCAGTTCTATAGTCATACTTTTATAAAAAGAAACATCTTGAAGTTCCTGACAAAGTTGATTTGCCTTATACTGATTCTGTATAGCATGCTCAATATGCATACTATTGCTTATATGAAAAATCTTGAAGCAGTCCCAGACCAAGTTGACTTGCTGGAAAGGTTTTGACAAGCTGTGTCTTCGCATGTGACATTTGGTATCGGCTCATGAAACAGGCCATTTCTGATCCATGCTTCATGGCACTTGTGAAGTTTGAAAACAAACATCTGACCCTCCTGTATCCCTTTGCATATAATCAAAAGAAGTAACTTGCACCGAGTCTTCTGCAGACAGCAACATTCTTTTTCTGTTTACTGATCAATAATGAATAGTCTAAAATTGATCTGCACATTTGGTGTCTGTATGTGTTGGGAGATTGTCAGAGGAAAAGTTTGAGGGGAGGTAACTCTATTAACATTAGAACATGTATATGTGGCACAAATTGATGCATTTTTACAACCAAAAAGAATTAATGCAGTTATGCAATCTGTATTAACCACAAAGAAGTGTTTTTAGAAGTTGTGTCTGAATTGTACTGCAACAAATATTATTTTGATGACATACATAGATTATACATAGATAGTATCACTCGGTGTTCTCTAACTGGTAGATCTACCGTTATGTGAGATTAATTTTAATTTTATGCTATAATATACATGAGAGGAGACATTTGAAAACTATGCATATAAAATAATAAAAATACATTGTCAAATATTTAGTCAACCAGCATAAGGGTCTTAAGATATGTTTGTGTCATTTTGAGACTGATTGGAAAAGTAAGATGAATTTTGAGAGTTTAATTTTGTTATCACCATTTTTCAGGAATTGGTTTAATTTCAATTAATTTCATGTTAATTTTGTATTGTGAAACTATCTTCACTCTTTGTATTTGCTGCAATGTACATATATAGGGGCTTACCGATTGCTGGTAGGGGCCCTGTCCTTGTTGGAAGCCTGCTTTCCAGGATAAGAAATGTTTACTTAAAAAAGATGCAAAATATAGTTACAAATTTAATTCCACTGTGTTAAGAAAATAGAGATTCTTCTATACAGTGTTTTAGAGTAGGAAATGTATACCTGCATCCGGGCAATGATTTTCAGGGATAGCTGTGTATATGTGCTTGGTTTTAAGGTTTGTCTGTTTCATCTTTGTAGGGAGGAAATCAATAATATTGCAGTCAAAATTTACATCAAAATACAGATCATTGCACTCTACATTTGAATACAGATTCAAAGATTGAATTATTTATTGAAGTCTGCCTTTGGCTGTGGTAAATATAAGATGGGAGTACACTTCTACTGGTCTTCATACTAAGAACACTTTTATCGAGTCGAATAAGAAACTTCTTCAGGAATTTATGAGTGTGCTCATTAAAACTCATTTATTCCTTTAGAAAATGAAGTTGATTATTACACGTCACTTCAGAACAGGAGGATTTTGATGTAAATACAATGATTTTTTTTTTGAAGAATGAGCATCAATCCTGAATCATCTAATAGAAAAATTGTACATTGTATCAACACAATAATGTAATGAAGCGAATGAGGCTAAAATGACTACAGCGAACAAATGGTTTATGGCATTACTGTCAATATCACTTGTATAAAGATTGTTCTTAATTGTTAAATCATGTAAAGAAAATTGCTAAAAAAACCTTGATATGTATAACTTATTAAAAATGGTTGTAAAGGGGCTGCTGTAAAAATGGTTGTGAAGGGGTTGCTGTAAAAATGTTTGTGAAGGGGCTGCTGTAAAAATGGTTGTAAAGGGGCTGCTGGAGGAGGGGATACAGCTCTTGGCTGTGGCTGCTNTTAAATCATGTAAAGAAAATTGCTAAAAAAACCTTGATATGTATAACTTATTAAAAATGGTTGTAAAGGGGCTGCTGTAAAAATGGTTGTGAAGGGGTTGCTGTAAAAATGTTTGTGAAGGGGCTGCTGTAAAAATGGTTGTAAAGGGGCTGCTGGAGGAGGGGATACAGCTCTTGGCTGGGGCTGCTAGAGGAGGGGATACAACTCTTGTCTGGGGCTGCTGGAGGAGGGGATACAGCTCTTGGCTGGGGCTGCTGGAGGGGGGGATACAGCTCTTGTCTTGGGCTGCTGAAGGAGGGGATACAGCCCGTGGCTGGGGCTGCTGGAGGAGGGGATACAGTTATTGTCTGTGGCTGCTGGAGGAGGGGATACAGCTCTTGTTTGGGGCTGCTGGAGGAGGGGATCCAGCTCTTGGCTGGGGCTGCTGGAGGAAGGGATACATCTCTTGTCTGGGGCTGCTGGAGGAGGGGTTACAGCTCTTGTCTGGGGCTGCTGGAGGGGGGGATACAGCTCTTGTCTTGGGCTGCTGAAGGAGGGGATACAGCTCTTGGCTGGGGCTGCTGGGGGAGGGGATACAGCTCTTGGCCGGGGCTGCTGGAGGAGGGGATACAGCTTTTGGCTGGGGCTGCTGGAGGAGGGGATCCAGCTCTTGGCTGGGGCTGCTGGAGGAGGGGAAACAGCTCTTGTCTGGGGCTGCTGGAGGGGGGGATACAGCTCTTGTCTTGGGCTGCTGAAGGAGGGGATACAGCTCTTGGCTGGGGCTGCTGGAGGAGGGGAAACAGCTCTTGGCTGGGGCTGCTGGAGGGGGGGATACAGCTCTTGTCTTGGGCTGCTGAAGGAGGGGATACAGCTCTTGGCTGGGGCTGCTGGAGGATACAGCCCTTGTCTGGGGCTGCTGGAGGAGGGGAAACAGCTCTTGGCTGGGGCTGCTGGAGGGGGGGATACAGCTCTTGTCTTGGGCTGCTGGAGGAGGGGATACAGCTCTTGTCTGGGGCTGCTGGAGGAGGGGTTACAGGTCTTGGCTGGAGGTCTTTTGATTCATTAACAAGAAGCATGTTTATGGACAGTAATTTTGTTTGCACATCTTTGTTATGGTTTCTTTAAATTCCATTTGTTATCAGACTTAACCTTTGTACAAACCTGAGCACTTCCTGAAAAGTTTTCCCTCTTACCCATGTACTATTACAAGAAACGTGACGATAAGTAATGAAATGTTTTTAAGTGTTGTATAACAAGTTTAGATCTATCTCAATAGGATCTCTTCTCAACTCCTCGAACAGAGGGAGACTGTTGTGTCACCCAACACTGGTCCTCCGTGATAAAAACGGAGGAATTAAACTCAGTATGAAATAAAAGTAGGCCATTAACGTGTGTTATTGATCTGTTTGTGTCCCCATTAACTATTTATAGATACAGAGTCCAGAGTCGGACTTTCTATTCCATTAACCAATTTTTGCTATAGAATACCTCTCCTCTAGTCCACTATAGAATACCTCTCCTCTAGTCCACTATATAATACCTCTCCTCTAGTCCACTATAAAATACCTCTCCTCTATAGTCCACTATAGAATACCTCTCCTCTAGTCCACTATAGAATACCTATCCTCTAGTCCACTATTAGTGTGTTGTGTGATTCCCCTGATACAAAAGTGGGCAGAACCAATTGTTTCCTGAACTGGAAGATATGATTGGCCTATTTATTGACCGTGTCCGAGTGTTTTCATATTGAAATTTCATTTTAGAGGCAAAAACATGTTCATCGTTTTGATGCAAACAATTTTTCTAGACATATATTGGGCTCCTTTTTTCCATTTTTTCCCCCGCATGAATGTTGTGGAATTCAGTTATGATTAAATTTATTTGAAACACACCACACATAAGCAAACATGAATGAAATGGATCAAAATATCTGTTGTGATAATTCTCAATCATCAGAAATTATAGCAGTATATAAATGTGATTTCCTATCTAGGCACTGTCTTGGCAACTTTGAAAAAATAAATAAAGTATTAAAAGGATATTGGATGCATGCTTGTCTGTATGAGATAAAGACCAACGATTAAACCAATGAGGCAAGTTTGGTTGGCATATTTTGAGAAAAAGTAAAATATGGATGCATTCAATGTGTTGCCATTGTTTGTCCTAAACAAACTTTTGACGGTTGGGTGTCAAAGTCAAAGTGTGTGAGAACTAGGCTCTCTATTGTCCCTTATTTTAAGGCCAGTAACGTGTGGTCAGTGGTCAGTGGTAGTAGTGGTCAGTGGTAGAAGTGGTCAGTGGTCAGTGGTAGAAGTGGTCAGTGGTAGAAGTGGTCAGTACTGTATTGTTCTATGTCGTTATGACGTCACACACTATGTCTGCACTGGTCATGCTGTGTTCCTAATAAGTCATGAATATTCTCGGTGGACCACTAAGTACCAGTATCGGACTATCTGTATCCGTAATGTCAGCATATTATCAGATTTTATGATGGGGTCCATGTACTCCAACTGTAATGGACTAGATAATTACTTGGGACCGTCTGTTATTGCCCTAACACTCGGGATTCATGGCCAAAACCCCTCGCCAAATATTGATTACTGTACGTAACTTACACAACAGCCAAATGATGCTGGAAAAAAAAATATATCTGCAATACACGAGTGCTGTCTTTGAATGACAAACTGTTTGTACATTTGCTTCAACC